TTTGTTCTCGATCCCGCGATGAACGCACACGATCCTAACCGCGGCTTGACGTTCCCCTAACGCGATGTACTCCCGGGAGCGTTGTGTTCACGTGTGTGGGTGTGCGGGAAGCTGCGTGCGAGCTTGCCAACTGAGTTGATGCCTTCGTGTGTGTGCGATGGCGCTCGTGTCAATTTGCGGTTTTTTCGTGTCAAAANACAAGGCAGCTCGGGTCAAAAAAAAGTGACGGTTGATATTTTGACACGAACTTATTTCGCCGCTTGTTACCTTTCGGAGCTCAGCAGCGGCGAAATCTCGATTTTAAAAAAACACTCAGCGCAAGACCGAAAACCTAACGGCTGAGCCTCGGAGCCTCCACCCCGTAAACGCTACGAACCGAGGGAATGGCGCGCCTTGAACGAGGTAGAATCCGCTATGAGCGGTATGATGAATGCATGCAGATCATGGCTCTGGCCCTGCTCTGCGCATTGGCCGGAGAGGAGGACTTGTTTCTCGTGATGACCATGTTTGGTCTTGTCAAACTGCAAAACCGTCCCTGTCGCGGATGTTTGCTCGTGCGAACCCTCGATGAACGCAACCGTCCCTGACGCGGATTGGCACCAGCAGGAGTGCGATGTGCTCCCGGGATTGTTTTTGCAGACGTGTGTGGGTGTGCGGCAGTGCTTTGCGAGCTGGTAGGCGGAGTTGATCGCTTTGTGGGGGCTTCGGGGGCACCTCGTGTCAAAACAAAAATTTGCCCCGAATTTTGACACGTCTTCCAGAAAAATCTGACCTGGAAATTTTGACCCGAAAGAGGCGGCGTAACCTCTCGGGTCAAAAAAACCGCTCGTGTCAAAATTTCAGGTCAAAAAAAGCACAGGTGGGAACCCTAAAATACCTCAGGTGAAAATATTTTCACCACGTTTTCGAAAAATTCTGACCTGCGATTCTGACATGAAAAAGTGCGGCGTAACCTCTCGTGTCAAAATTCTGACGTCTCGTGTCAAAATACTGGTCTCGTGTCAAAATTTCGTGCTCGTGGAGAAATTCCTGACACACGTGAGACCCATGCAATATATATAGTCTAGATGGACAACGCCTAATACTCAGTCTGATGTACAGAGGGAACAAACGAGAGGAGATTTTCTGTTCTGCGTGCAAAACTACGCTAACTGGGTCGTTGCGAAATTGGAGAACAACAGCTGTGACAGCCCGCATGCCTTTGGACTGAGGGATTGCGTGTACTGTACATACCATGTCTTCGAACGTGTCCAGAGTGGTGCAAGACTGTTCCGGAAGAGAGATACACAAAAGCACGCCTGCACAAATCGCTGCCTCTACCCCCCTATACGCGCACGTATGTAGAAGAACAAATAAATATTGTTTCCCTCGAAACGCGGCGAGTAGTGTATCGTGGGGCACACACACGTGTGTCGTTCCGACGAGAACGAAATCCACTACAATTGTCGCGCGCGCGAAAAACAATTTGAAGCCGTCGTGTTGCGACGAAAAGCGTCCGCGACCCTGTCGTTGGCAGGGTAGTCGGGGGGAGGGAGGTCACGCAAGCAAGAATTGGTCGAGACCGGCGTTATTGTTCATTTGATGCATGGAAGGATGTCTTCGGAGGAAGAGAAGAGAGAGTCATCAATCATCAAGTTGGTGTGCGTGCAAAATGCGGAGGAACACACTTGGCGCGTGCGCAATGCGGTGAAAGGAGAGGATACAAATAAGGTCTAGTGGGTAACCTCGCAGCCTGCTAAGAGCAAGGTCATGGGTTCGAGTCCCGGCAGAGGGAGTTTTTTTCTCACTCAATAAATCCTGGTCTAGGATGAAAGCGACGCGCTGCAAAGCTCGTTGTTAGTAAACCATAATCGACTTCGTAAGTCGCGAGGGAAGGGATTGCTGTACCCTTCTCGCGATAACAATACCTTAGGCAGGAACCGCAGGAGGGGGTCCAGCCCCCCCCTCCTGTGTGACCCGGGTTGGGTAGTCTAGCTAGTAGAAGTGGAGGATAGGGGCCAGAGGGGCAGACGACAGAGTCCAATGATGGGAGAACAATAAAAAAAATAGGAGAAACAGCTGTGACAACACGGATGCTTAGGGCTGATGAATCGTGTGTGTACCATGTCTTCGCACATATCCAAAGTGCAAGACTGTTCGGGAATGAGGGAGATGCACAAGCACGCCTGCACAAATCGCTGCTTCTCTCCCTCTATGCGCGCGCGCATGTACAAGAACAAATAATGTTTCCCTCGAAACGCGGCGAATAGCATATCGCGGGGCACACACACGTGTCGAGATCAGGATAAACCACGATTGATTGGTGATGTATTTGTTCCTTAATTGGTCGGTCGCCCCGGTGGCCTAGTTGGTATCTACAAAACCTTCTAGGGGTCAGGTCACGGGCTCGAATCCCGGCGTAAGCGAGCTTTTCTCGGAAAGTGAGTTTTCTCTCCCTTCCGCTCCTGGCCTACCTAGTGGATAGCGCTACTGTCCTGTAGTTCGTGTGTACACAGATGGAACAGAGTGCTGAACTCTGCTCGCATTGATAATCGAAGGCAGCGTACCGGAGGAGGGGAGGGTAGAATGAGGCTCTTCTGTATGACCACGGATTGGAGTAAAACGGCACTATGCAGTGCTGTGCGCGTTGATTTGAAGTGACGACCAAAAAGATATAGTCTATGTATACAAGCGTGCTTCGCCCGCCCCCCTACCGGGGGGCCGGCCTCGCGTAAGACCCGTAGGAAAGAAAATGGGAAGAAAAGTTTGAAGTTGTCAGCAATGAAGGACATGAGCAAGTGGTGTCGATTCATTTGATGACTTACATACATACATCTCTTGCACGCCCATGGAATGGCACCTCGGCATACAAAGCGCGCGACACAACAGCGGAATAAATGTGGAGGTGCCAACCATTGAACTCTATGTATGTGCAGCATAATTAGTCGTGGGCAGGCTGCAACCCCGACTGCTCAATAGATTTGTTACGCGAACCCAGTGTTGTTACTTCGCGGGGTTACCCAAATCCTCAATTAAAGTTCGTTTTCCTCGTCGTACTCGCATGAACCCCCCCCCTGCTCTCGTACCGCGACGAGTACTTGGAAGTCTCCCTCTCGTAAGGATAGTGCAAACTTAAGGCGCATTAGACGCGGCAACGTTATGTACAGCTGTATGAATGCGACTATTGGACGCTATGTACCGCCTGCGCGATGTTTGCTTGGCAACGTGTAGAGCTGCACTACTATTTAACGCTATGTATAGGAAATTTCAACAGGAAGAGACAAACGGCCGGAACCAATGAAGGCGAGAAATTCGTGAAGACCTTGGAGACTTGTCGTTGAGACACATGATGGGTGTCGTGCACAGGTCTGACAAATATGCCTCTTTGTCAGCCAGGTGTTGTTCGTAAACGTCGACAAGACTCATGGGAGATCTCTTCATGTTCATTGAGGAGGTCGTCGATGTTGCAGTCTTGCATCGAAGACATGCCTGCGGGAACGGAAATGAGTTGAGAGGACACTATTATTTGGTGTGATGGTATCGCATTGTTTGGTGGGGTTGGGCATTGCTTTCGAATGGTATGAAACATGCGTTTGGTACCGGAACAGGACGCGGAGGATTTCCGTTCGGAAGGTAAAAAACGTGAACCGTGACGTTATGCATGAGTTCGAAGGCGGACATTTCTATGAAGTTGGCGGGGGCATGTGTGTGAGACATATTGAAATGATTTCACCTATTTCGTTGATGAGAGTTCAATGATACTTACTGTTGTTGTCGTCGTTGTGTTTTTGGTGTTGCTGTTGTTGGTGGTGCTACTTGAGGCACTGTTGTTTTTGTTGTTGATGTTGGTGCATGTCGTTGGGGATGTCGGTTGAGGCTTGAACTAAGCCTTTGTGGCACCTTCAACAAAAGCGGTAGAACAACGTTGGCTACATGAGGGATGCCATCAATGATATGATTTGGAGAAACGACGCACATGACAGAGGGTGTTTGTGCGCGGCTTAATGCAACATAGAGTTATTCGTGTCCAAAAGAATGTGAGCGCAGGTCTGAACTTACTCGTGTGAGGTTTTGCGCTTGAGATTTGATGACTATGCATAATTTATGGTTAGCAAATATGCAGTACGCAGCGGATGCTCGATAGATACGTTGGCTGGCTGCTTGTACGCCTACCCCACTACTCTTACTACTGTACAACTACAGCATCAGAGCAGCGTGTAGCAGCAGCAGTGGTAGACTTCACGTAGTCTACATTACAACATACACTGCTGCTGCCGTAGTAGTGGAACGCCTCGTTTTCCCTGTACGGAGACTGGTGTACAGCGGGATTCAACAAAGTCGTTCTTACCCTTTGATGCCACTCTCGTTTGCCGCTCCGGAGGCAAAGTCCCTTGGGCTTGTTCATGTGTTTGGATACGGACTGGTAGATCTGCCGACAACAACGGGAACACGCAAATAGGAGCATAGGTAAACCATGACGGTTACTATGCGGTGGAACCTATGCGGTGGAACCTCTCGAGCTCTTCTCAAGCTTATCGGGACCTCACTCGTCCTCCGCTCCCCTTTCGCGTGCTTAACACAAAAGATAAAACAAATCTCCCCCAAGTAAAGGATATACAAACGTAAGAATACACTAGTGTACATCCCTCGAGGGAGTCCATTAGGAAATGGCGGACCGCGTAGCCGGGGAAAATATCCCTGGCGGACCGTCGGAGGGAGACCAGAGCTCGGCAGAGTTCACGAGCCTCAAAGGGGATGTAGGCTCGCTGGCAGAGCAGATCAGCAAGTTGACGCTACTGGTAGGCGAGCTAACACGGAAGGAGGAGGAGCCCAGCGACGCCAGAGGGAGCGACGCTGGCCGCGGTGACGCTAGAGAGAGCGCCGCCGCGGCGTCTGCAGAAGTCCAAGAAGGGGCATCGCGGACTGGGAGCGCGCAGGACGACACGTACCTGCGCGAACCTTTCGAAGGCTCTGGTCCGGAAGGACGACACAGCCGCGAAGCAGGGGGCTATGTCCCCCAAGAGGTGAGAGTAGCCGCTGCTCACAATCCAGGTGGTTTGAGTAGCACCATAGGAGGTGGTGCTGCTGCTGGCTTTGCCGGCGGCTTCGGTATTCCTGTCGGGAGTGCAGGATACCAGAGCGTGAGGTACTCCTCACCCCCCGTTTGACGGGAAAGCAAAAAAAAATAATCATGGCTTCAGGATTCTGCCTGGTAGCAAATTGAGCAAACCTGTTGGACCACCTTCAGGAGGGGACAGTGGAGATCCCCGTGAATAGCAGACGAAGCAAGTCGTTATTGTGCCAACAATACCCAGCCGAGCAAGTTGAGCTCGCGTNAAATGGAGCAAACCTGTTGGACCACCTTCAGGAGGGGACAGTGGAGATCCCCGTGAATAGCGGACGAAGCATGTCGTCATTGTGCCAACAATACCCAGCCGAGCAAGTTGAGCTCGCGTTTCACGCGTGGAATTTTCTGAACCACGCTCTCATCAAAGAGGACGAGAAAACGACGATGAAATGGGCAGAGACGCCCCAGAGGGCCATCAAAAGGAATGTACGACCCGGAATCAGCCATGCGACCGGTTGACGACTTGGATGCGTTCATGACATTTACGGTCCCCACGAATAAGAACCCCCAACTTGTTCTCTGCGACATGCTAGCAACTGGTGAACGACTTAACCAAGAAGGGCTAGGTATCAACGAAGGATTTGTTCTCCACCGCTTTGTGTCCGCCCTTTCGGATGAGTACGCTATGACGAAGCATGCCCTGCGACGCACGAAAAAGCTGACCAAGGAGCAAGTGATGAGGGAGATCGCAATCGAGTACAAAGCGATCCTGGAGAAACAAAAGAAACGCAACGGCGCACGAGGCGCCGAAAAGGCCTACATCGCCGACGGCGGCGGCCGGAAGGGGCAGTCGTCTAGCCGTGACCACGGTCGTGGCGGCCGAGGTCGTGGAGGCGGCCGCAACGGTGGCCGCGGCGGTCGCAGCGGTGACCGCGGCGGCGGCAACGGCGGGGGCGGCGGCGGCATCGAGGAGAGCAAGGGAGATGGAAGTGGAGGAGCAGGCGGCGGCGGCAGCGGCGGCAGCGGCGGGGGCACGAGGTTCCCTGGCCGGCGCTACCGGTGCGGTCACGTTGGGCATNGCAAGTGATGAGGGAGATCGCAATCGAGTACAAAGCGATCCTGGAGAAACAAAAGAAACGCAACGGCGCACGAGGCGCCGAAAAGGCCTACATCGCCGACGGCGGCGGCCGGAAGGGGCAGTCGTCTAGCCGTGACCACGGTCGTGGCGGCCGAGGTCGTGGAGGCGGCCGCAACGGTGGCCGCGGCGGTCGCAGCGGTGACCGCGGCGGCGGCAACGGCGGGGGCGGCGGCGGCATCGAGGAGAGCAAGGGAGATGGAAGTGGAGGAGCAGGCGGCGGCGGCAGCGGCGGCAGCGGCGGGGGCACGAGGTTCCCTGGCCGGCGCTACCGGTGCGGTCACGTTGGGCACCAGATTGCTGACTGCACCACCGAGGAGAAGGACTTCATTCCGCGTTGCGGGAAATGCGCAGGGTGGGGTCACAAGGAGGACAAATGCGCTACGGAGGAGGCTGTCCTGGCTCAAGTCGTGAGCTACGTGAGCGACAACGACTCCGCCACTGACCAGGCATTCTGTGCCGTGGCACTACCCCCAGGCGAGTGTGGTATCGTTGATCTTTGTCTAGTGGGGGTTGAGGAACTTGGCCAGGATGTCATGCAGTACGTGGCTGACAAGGCAGCCACGTGCTCCATGTTCCGATGTGCGAATGCCTTCGTGAACTACCGCGAGTATAACGGTTGGGTGCGGGGAACTGGTGGTGACAAAGCCCCTGTTCCCCTCCTAGGATACGGAGACGTGGTCGTAGTCCTCAAGTCGGAAGGTGGTTGGGTCTGNGCAGCCACGTGCTCCATGTTCCGATGTGCGAATGCCTTCGTGAACTACCGCGAGTATAACGGTTGGGTGCGGGGAACTGGTGGTGACAAAGCCCCTGTTCCCCTCCTAGGATACGGAGACGTGGTCGTAGTCCTCAAGTCGGAAGGTGGTTGGGTCTGTGTACCCATTCCGAATGCAGCTCATGTACCCGAAGCCCCCTACAACCTCCTTTCTATTACCACGTTGGCCGAGGAAGGCCACAAGTACTCGGGGCAGAAAAGGGTGCTCAAGTTGACCACGAAGGCCGGGGGGGAAGTTCCCCCGGACGGGCAAGCTGCTCACTCAAGAAGGCTATCAAACACAGCCTACGGTAGACATCGCCTGTGCGCAGTCATTGTTCCTGGCGATGCGAAAGCAGCCCNTGGCCGAGGAAGGCCACAAGTACTCGGGGCAGAAAAGGGTGCTCAAGTTGACCACGAAGGCCGGGGGGGAAGTTCCCCCGGACGGGCAAGCTGCTCACTCAAGAAGGCTATCAAACACAGCCTACGGTAGACATCGCCTGTGCGCAGTCATTGTTCCTGGCGATGCGAAAGCAGCCCCCCCCACTGACATCAACGACTACCACAACTCCCACCTGCACGCCCACGAGAAACTGCTCAGAGACACGGCGAAGCAGCAGGGAGCGCAGCTGACGGGAGGACCGCTGCTACCCTGCCTCGGCTGCTCGATGTCCAAGGGACAGGGTGCACATCCACGCGAGCAGTTAAGGAGCTGTTTCGCATATTCCTCGACCTAGGGGGGAAAATGAAGATCGCAAGCATCGGGGGCAGCCTATACACCCTCATAATCGTGTGCGATCACACGCGTTGGACGCGCGTATTCTTTCTGAAGCAAAAATCTGACGCAGCCGAGAAATTTAAGCATTTCTTGGCAGACTACCGAGCAGCGGAGGTTCCGTGTGAAGTTTACGTCGCACGGACTGACGGTGGTGGCGAGTTTCAAGGGGCGTTCGCTGATGCTTGCCGCAAATACGGCATCAAGCAAGATTTTCCCCTCCTGACACGGCCAAGTACAACGGTGTAGCTGANTAAGCATTTCTTGGCAGACTACCGAGCAGCGGGGGTTCCGTGTGAAGTTTACGTCGCATGGACTGACGGTGGTGGCGAGTTTCAAGGGGCGTTCGCGGATGTTTGCCGTAAATACAGCAACAAGCAAGAGTTTACCCCTCCTGACACGGCCAAGTACAACGGTGTAGCTGAGAGAGCGTTGGGGGTGATCACTGATGCCGCGCTCGCCGCGCGTATCCAAGCTACGGCACTCTTCCCCGATGCGCCCAATGCCCCCAAATTATGGGCTGAAGCCATCTCTTGGGCGTGCCACCAAAGAAACTGCACCGCTACCATGGGCAACCCTGGCCACAAAACCCCCTACGAGATGGTTCCTCGGCACACCGCCGCTGGTCGGGTCAACGTACCCGTTCCTCAAACCAGCCGTCTTCAAATCAAGAAGAGAGGCAAAGTCGCAA